AATTCGTATCGGTCTGAATGATTATGTCAAAGGCAGTTTTCTTGATCATCCAAGACGGTTACTCTTCAAAATGAAAACCACAGTTACAATTGCTCTTTAGTGCCTGTAGTAAAGAAACTGGAAGAAGGAAAAGGTAAAACTCCAACAAAAGTGTAAAATTAAGATTTAAACAGGTGCTTCTACACCGCAGTCTCTTATCCATAACGCTTTCGGATGGTGACGTACGGAAAAAAGTGCGGTGCTACTCATCCAACCCCCGGTATTGGCTTGAGTTCGTGTAGTGTAGATCCCTTTACAGCTATGAAATCAACATCGAAGTCGATCGTTCCCATTTCATGTGTCGATGACTTTGGTGATGGAATAAGAAAAAAAGCATTCCACTGATTCAATGATGACGTTCCATTCAGGGCGGAGCGATGGTGAAAGGATGAAGTGCCAGAGATCACACGGCCTGATGGCCTTTCGTATCGGAACAGCTACTTAGAAAGCTACTCAAGCGGGAATCATTAGATAACTCGTTTCCGCTGTACATAGTCCTCAATGCCATAAAAAATCATCCTGCTCATTGAACCCCCTTATCATTATTANTACCTTCTTACCATTTCTTTCAGAATGTTCACTTTCGAACCTTCATCTATTCTCTGCTTCCTTTTTTTAGAATTACCGCTAGGCTTTTAGTTTTAAAATTCAGAATAAACCCAGTTAAAGGCAATGGAGTTTGGTTTGACCAACAAATCACCTTTTCCAAGAGGAGTGTTTTCAATCCAAGTTTCTGGCAGTGATAAGCTGTACACGAACCGAAAATACCGGCACCCACAACGACGACATCAAAAGTTGCGTTTGTCATTGCTACAGCCCTGGAATAGACGTTTTGACTGTTTTTCGCCACTATTTTCATTTAATCCTTTTGAAAGCAAATATTTGACTACTTTGGGTATAGATTTAGGCTAGATACGAAAATATCCATCATATCCCTTGATTAACCAGCAGTCGGTACCCCACAAATGTGTATCGATTTGGCGCGCATGTAGATCAATATTCACTCTTATCAATGGGTCAAGTTGTTAGGCTCGAAAAGTGTAGGCATCATTATTTGTAATATTATATATGTTATATTTGTAGAATATTTGATGAATTCTTTCGAATATTTTGTTTTTGTGAATCCAAGTAAAGAGTATCCCCAACGCGAGGCATATGGGAGCTGTGCCCTGATGCCCTTGACGTCAACATGTCTTTCGCTTGCCAGACAGGTAGGTCTTTTTCACCTGTTCACAAAACTTTGTTATGGGAACGAAAGTTTACTAGGTAAACGTATTCCAGTAAAAAAGAAAATCCTTTCGAGCACGTATGTGGGCTTAAATAGAGTTAACACTGACGCAAGTACTTAGATGTGACGCCAAAAATTTCATCGATCAGAACGTTTATTCGATTGTTAGCCCTCTGTACTTTACAGGTATTATAGGTACATAAAAACAGTAGCATGAATTCAGGGTAGAACTAATGATCATCTCCGATCCGGTTCATTTAGAAATCTTCAAACGGCTGCTTTGATTAGGCGAGGGCCCCTTGAAAGTTCATTATTACACAATGTTGCTGAGAAACCGCCCGATTCGATGCCAAAGAGAAATTGTCGGTCTCTTTTTTTTTGAAAAAAAAANAAAAAAAAACTACGTCGTCAGCCCATCAAGTTTCACAAATAGCTGTTCGTGTGCATCTTATCCCGTCCCGTTTATACCCAAGCTGCAGTATAATACTCAATAGAAGGTGGTAAATAGTAAATTTGAATGAGAAGAGCTTGCTAAACACAACAGAAAAAAACGCGAAAAAGTAGTTGACTGGAAACCCAAATGGGAAAGCTAGGGAGAGGACCCAGTGATCGGAGAAATCGACCAGACACTTCAAGTTTTTTATGGGAAAATGCTTACATTTACTGTTTTACTTGATAAGGAGAGCATCGTTATCTAAACAGTGGTGTGTAATGGCCAAAACGTGGAGCATCTTCAATCATGGGTGAACCAGTTCTTTTCCAGTTTTATTAATTAAATTCATGAGCGGACGTCCACTGGATCATCCTACTTTGCCATTTATCAGCAGTGATTTAAATAAACTTTTAGGGTTTGAAAAACTGCGCACAAAAAAATTAACTCAAAAGATAGGTACCTGGTTCGGCCTAATAAATTGACAGCGCTGTATGTCATCGTTTTGCTGCTACTGTTATCGGAATTCTGAAAGTCAAAAAATGAAAGGAAACTGCTGAGTAGAGTCTTGACTTATTCCTTTTATACTTTTTTATTAAAATCAGTGATAAAACTAATCAATCATGAAATCCGATTATGAGTGATCGCTCTTTTTACCTACAATACAGTCAGTAGCAATGTCGTCCAATAACACAAAATTCTCCGAATAGTATACTTTGATATGGTTTCCAGAGGAAATTAATTTTTTTTTTGCAAATTCACGTCAAAAGTAGCACGAGATACTGAGAAAATTGCAAAAAAAATAACACAAACGTCTATAAGTGGTAGCATGTGAAAAACATTCAAAAAACAAAAGTATTTAATAAAAACGCTGAACGAAAGCTGCGATCCAACTGGTTACGATCGATATCACATCAGTGATTTGATCACACCGAATGAATAATAACATTAAACTGAACGGCTTTCTGTAAAAAAAAAAGTTATACGCGCCTGTTCAAGGTTATTCAGATAGTTTGGGACCTGGGAAAAACTTGAAATAGTGCCAACGTGGCTATTAAACAGTCTCCGAAGAATACAAATTAGATCTTCACACTGACACCATTGTTGTAGGATAAAGCGCTAGCCATAACCGACCCATACATAAGCAAGACACTATCGGTGAACAGACAAGTACGCCGGGCCAGAATGTTCCTTGGAGTGGATTTTGATCGAATAAACGCTTCTTATGCCGTTCTTCAACGTATCCTTCTCCTATTTAGGAACTTTATGCTTTATTGATTAACAATTTGAGAAATCACCTGCTTAATGACCAGTCGCTAGGAAGAATGATTTCGATTGATAGCGAACGGAATGAACTTAATAAACTTTGAACTTTGATTGTTAATTTCACACCATTAAACTCAGAAATTGCAATCGATATCTAACAAGAACACAGGTTGACCTTTTGCTCTGTAAGCCTCAAACCTCTCAGGCAGACAGACAGACAGACACACACACAGGCAGACAGACAGACAGACAGACAGACAGACAGACAGACAGTCAGACAGACAGACAAAAAGCAATAGCAATCATTGCTGTAATAGGTTTGATAGTGCTCTTCCAGTTCAGTTCCAGTGCTCCATTCATGCCCACCGCCTTTTTCCCGGTAGATAATTTGGACACGCGTAAGCGGTCTACGTCACTGCCACAACGGCAGCAGGCGTATCACTTGTGATGCAAAACATTACAATGATAATATCACACATATTAAATAGTGCAAAATATTAAAAAATGTTAGTGTAAGTATCAGAAATTAAATAAAAGATAATGTATATAAAATTTTATTATAAATATTGGAAATTTGATCACCTTAAAAAGTCCAAAGGCATCCAACTTTCACTCGGAATCATTGCGGCGTATTGAGTGGGTGTGTGACCTTTACGATAACTTGCAGCGGCCAGCCAATGTACAAGTCAGTGCTTTTATCCCGCAGACGGGTCTGGTACCAATTGACCGGCCCGGAAGGATGGCAGGCTCGGTTGGCCTGGGCGATATCGTACAAGATTTGAACCCACGACCATGCATCTGCAATAGTGGCTCCACTTGCTACTACACAACTCCGCTCGATTTCATGTTCAGTGGTAACATTTCTTCTCTTGTCCTCAATTCTTTTTGAATTTCGGGACAAAATGAGATTTCGGGGCAGCTTCTTGGGTAACTTGTGCGCAGGGCACCTACCAAGTTTTGGGCACTCAATTTAATGCTCATTCAGTTGGTGCAAATTTATGGGACCAGCCAAAGTATTTATTTATTTATTGCAAGAAGATTCCCTCCATGTTTGTCTGCAAAGAACCTGTTCTAGACGGATCGAACCCTTGGGAGATGGCATTGACAGGATTCGATCCAACGGAAAGTGCAACTGGCGAACGGAGTCTAAACGGCTCAACAATAACGCTGCTGTTTTTACGTTCTACTTTCAAAACTTCCATGAACTAATTACTTCTTTGTTGGTCGACTTTTCCAGAAGGATGATTACCTATGCGCGAAGCGAAAAAAAAATATTAAAAAAATGTCGTGTCCCACGCATAATCCCATGTCATGTGACATTGAAAAAACGCGGGAAATCCTTACAAGGGCTACCGTAGTCCTGCAGTTTACAACGATGGGAATCACTCATGATCCCTATCCAAGTAATAAGCTGAAAGGAGTGTTAGTTACTCCGTTCTCTTCACATGTCCTTCGGAAATCGAATGTACTTACATAATTCGTTTTCTAAGAGCTCTGAGGGTTAGTTGCTACTTTTTCACGCTTCCTATTTGCCGCAACGTTGCCGCTTTATACGATTTACCTCAAAAACCTTCCTCTCTATACAAACATATTATTGAGTAATGGTGGGTTTTTACTATGAGCATTCATAATATTATGTAAATCAAATTGACTAGTATTCTCGACCTCCATTAAAACCTTTTTCTTGAGCGCTGAGCGGACAGCTATTCAGTGCTGCCCTGTTCTCCTTACTGTACTACAGATTGGTAACACCACAGGTGACTAACCTCAATTTGTTAAGACACTCTTTAAGTTATGTAGGTAAATGGTTATAAATGTTTGAAGCACCATATTCCTTGCTTTCCATGTGCAACTTCTATGGTAAGAAGTTCACCTGTATTATTTGTATATTTATTAGAAAAGTAAATGCGCATCAGAGAAAAAAAAACAATATGAATATGTATAGCATGCATAATGTGTTTCTTTTGAACAGTTGCTGAGATCACTACTACTACTATTCTATTCTACCAGTACATATCATTTTGGTGGAATGGACGCTTACGGCGGCCATGAAACAACCATGACTTTCTTTTTTCACTTTTCTATCCCTAGCACAGAAAACCCGGCTTCCTGATATTAACTATATCTTCAAATCCCTGTACCACTTAATAATTCTCTCCATCCTTAAAATATTGGTAACTCGTTATCGATCGAATAATCCACCCAGAATTGTAATGTCCACATGGCTATCGGACAACTCTGGTTAGCCATAGAATTTTTTTCGGGCAGCTTGATCATTCATCGCACTTTTTTCTCCTTCCCCTTTTTAAAACTGCTAGTTTACCTGAAATCCTTTCCGCATTCAGTTGACGCATCCAGGTAAACTGTCGCTTTACCAGTGCTCCCACTCGTATAGTACAGGACCATTTGAGATATGCCTAAAATCCCAAAAATTGAAGCTCATATTTTCTACTCTCAACCCCTCCGTAACCTAACAATTTTTTACATTAATCGTTCATCGTGGCACTCCGTGCTTTTCCGATAGTGGCGATATTACAAACGACCGGTGAATTAAATACAAAAAAGCTCTACAAAGCTACGTCGACTGCTCGACTGTTTATATTCTGTTCTCTGTCCCTCATCATCGTCAAGGGCTAAGCAAGCGTTCAGGGGAAGTTAGTACACTGAATAGAAGTCGTGTGCATGGCTCTCCGAGATAACAAATCGCATTGGCATCTTTTGTGATTCTTAATCATTGCTACCATTCAGTAATCCGAATTGCCAGATTTGAATACTACTGGTTGTAATAAATTTGTGTAGAAGGGTTAAAGTTGTCTGTGCTGATAAATTCAATAGCTAGGCCCAACCGAAGCACTGATCCGTTCAGTTTTTTTTCGAACAGACAATCAATATCTGGTTACTTTCTTATTTTATGATGTGTGATTTTATGATGTATTCCATTTTCTAATTTCTGACATATAGTTGTACAATTTTTTTAGTAATAGAGTTCTATGAAAGCAGAATTGTGATATAATTTAACGATACTTAATGATACATATGAGACTGGTAAGCTATTGTTCATACAAAGTTCTATTAGATTATCTTGAGTAAAGAACTGAAATTAGATTGTTTCGTGCAGCCCTTGTTGGCTAATATTTTATCAAAGTAATCGGCCCTCAGTGAGACGTTTCCTAAGCATTTTTGTTCAATTTCTTTACAGTAACCAAAAAAACCCAAACCACATCATGCATAATTGAATCACGTCCTATGGGAGGTACAGGTAACAGCCATTACTGCATGCCCTTTTACTGAAGCTAACTTTCTCATTCCGTTCCAGCTAGGAGCTTTAAAGCAATTATATGGTTCTTCAGCATTTTGTGAGCTAATTAAATATATTCATCTCTAGGATATTTCCGATGTTAATGCTCTTCCTTTGCAGTTTTCGTTGTTGAGCTGAATAGAGGGCAAATATTAACTCTCAGAAAGAAAAAATAAAAAATCTTTTCAGGAAAAAAATGTAGCAAAAAGGTCTGTGTACTTTTCGCCCTTACATTTTTGCGCATTACTATGGAGTAGAGAAGCGAATGTGTTTTTCTAGAAGTGATAAAAGCGTAGGACTACACATATAAAAATTTGAGTCGAAAGAATAAGTTAGATTTACATGGGAAAGATCTCCTCAATTTGAATCGAACTTTCATTGCTTTGGACAAAACAGTTCAATGACCGAAGATTCCACTGAGAAAATCCTGTAGGTGACCCAAACAACCTGATAAAAATGCCTTTCATCTTGTTACCCACTTTATACTTTACACTTCCTGTTGATGAGATCGCCTTCACTGTGATGTCCACCTCATTTTCCGAAATTGTAGGCGAATTTGAAAAGAATATTCCTAAATTCTAGCCCGATTGAAATATGCAAGCAGTTTCTGGTTAAGTCTCTCTCTGGTCCGCTCTATGAGCACAGGCACTTGTCTTGACAAAGAAACAAGAAGTTTTTGCTCGATTTTCGCATGAAAGTTATAATGCGAGCCTTTTACATCCATGAGTGTGTATACTGATGATGAGGTATTAGAATAACTGTTTTCAAACTCCAAAAAATAAATCGTACTCCAAGCTTCAACCTTAGCAGTCCATCTGGTTACAGAATTGCAACTATGTACTTAGCGATAGTTCATTGGATATCTTCGAAAGGTACTCCGTTTTGTACTACTTCTTTGTTTGAATGGACAAAGAGTTCTTCCGGAAGAGTATTCAATTTCTTTCTCCTCTCATTCTGCTATCTTCTGAAGGAAAATGATGTCTAATGTCGAAAAATTGTGAGAGCCCTCCAGCGGTAGCCGGTACTAGTAGTTGGTTACTGAGCAATGAGTTGAACGATGGTATGTATGTGATCTGTGATCTTAAACGTCAAGTTATTGAAAGTGTCTCCCTGAATTCTAATGGCCAGGAAGCAAATTAACGGCAGGCACGCGATGTCAGGAGGTCGAGGAGAATGCATGTCATTCAATACTATCAGGATTAAAGGCCAAAATCACTTTGTTTTGAGCTCTACACGTTTTGATGCCAACGTGCTGTATGGTTGTAACCGTGTTTTTTCGAAATATTCTGTCAAAGTTTGGGCAGTTGCCCAAAGATTGAAGCCTTGTTCAAAAGCGACACCACAGGCTCGTCCAGTTCAACTAAGCCTTCCTATGCTTCTGTGGGTAAGGGTTATACCTAACTCGAATAGGAGGCATAAAGTGAGCATCGACTATCCCGAAAAGTTACTGTTTGGGTAAAAAATCTAAGGCACTTTTCGATCCTAAAACGAGATCGATCAAACTCATATACTGCCATTTTATTACTAAATGGGAACTGGTTTTATCATTAATTTGCACAATCTTTTGGCACGTCTATCGATTGATACTATGCTTCAACTTCGAAAGTTACTTGTTCGACAAGAAATCCGTGTTAGTAAATTATTTATAGGGTTTATAAACTTGACAAGGTAGTGCACTATCCCCACCCGTACGTCGCCCAGATCGGATCCTTCTTCATAAGCTGCATCACT